CTCAGCTCGGCCCCCAGCCCCGGGTTGGCGTAGGACATATTGAAGGAGCCGGAGGTCATGTTGCCGCTGGTCGTCATGGGGTTCATGCTCATGTAGGTATTCATGCCGTTCATGGAGCCCAGCCCCGAGTTCATGTTGCTCACGGGCACCGAGTAGTAGGCCTGCAGCGGGGGACAGAGCGGGACAGGCGGTGAGGGCCCCCACTCCCAGCACCACCGCTGCCTGCCCAGTGCAGCCCCACCCACCCACCCGCCCTGCCCTGCCCTGCCCTGCCCCGTGCAGCGCGGGGACGCAGAGGTGCGCGGCGGGGCCGCGGCGAGCCCCCTGTTTCCGCGCTCTGCCTCGCACCGAGGTCGTCTCCCGGTAGGGTGCGAGGCTCAGTTCCCCCCCGCACCTCCCTTGGAAAGTGTCCCTGGTTGCTTTGCATCCCGGAGGCTGCGCCGGCCGGCAGGACTCGGCCAAGAGTTGTGCTAGAAAACTTCAATCCCGGGTTTTCGTCCCCACAGCAAGTCAGGCAGGCACCGCGCGGGCAAACAGTGCTCCGGCGTGCTCCTGCTTCGGTAGATCGCCCCCGTTTTTCTCGTACCTACCCACGTATGCAAGGACACAGATGTAGGTCTCGCCTGCCCCTGCTAGCTGGGTATTAAAACTAGCACAATCCCTGAAACAAACGGGTGCATTGTCTGATGAAACGTGTGACCCGGGCGAGATGGAATTGGCCGCGGTTCTTTCCCCACGGATAATCACAACTGCGCCACGCTGCTGCTTTTCTCTCCTTTTTTTCTTCTTTCTTGGTTAAGCTTTAATAATATTACTATTATAGGACATTCACCAGCTCATCTGGGCATACATTGCTGCAGGGCACCTTGTGTATCTGTATCTATCTCACAGCCAGGGACTCCGATTATTCAGTTTAACCTAAAAACTTTCCTCGAAGTGTAAATACTCCAAACTTTCCTTACCCGCGGTTTTCTGTAATGTAAGATGCAAAAATGTTTACCAGCTTGGCATAGAGCAAAGCTGTTATTCAGTCCTACCCCAGAGTAGCTAAAGGCAGACGTATCAATGCTGCATTTAATGTAATAGAAGTGGAAAAGCCGTTTTCAGTGGATTATTTTTGCAGCAAACAAATGCAGGTTCGAAGTTGAAACTAGGCTTAAAGATAGTTGCTGGTATACAGAATAGCAACATGAATAGCATGGGAGCTTCCAGGCTGCCTCTCTCTCTTGCAAACATCATTTTAATTTGGGGCGGGGGGAGGAAGGAGGAATAATCACTTCATAAATTAGTACTGAAATGAGTTTCTCTGATAGAATCTGGGCAATGGCTTAATTAAAACAACCGATAAGAAGAGGATATCGACCCTAAAGAAGGAAATGGGAGGGTCGCAGAATTTCCTATTAGCCAATACTGGAATGGAAAGGCTAGATTATTTATATGACCCTTATTTGCTCCTTCCACATTAAATAAGCTAGCAGGTGTAGAGTAGTTATGTATATACACGTTTGTATGTACATGTGTACAGTGCCTAGATCTAGTGTATGCATATATATGGTATATAAATATTACTGTAGTGTTTAGGTAGTGGACACACACGTAGTATACACAAGGATATACACAGTGTATATGTGTTACAGACTCACACACAGATATATCTATATGTGTATGTACACACATATACACTGTGTGTATATACTAGTGTATACTGTGTGCATCCACTACCTATAATTTATAATTTACGTGTGTACACACACGCATAGATCTATCTAGATTTGCATATGTGTGTACACACATATACACTACACATGGTGTATACTATGTATATCCACTACCTATAATTTATGTGTGCGCACACAGATATCTGTGTGTATGTACACGCACATACGCTGTGCATATACTAGTGTATACTGTGTATCTACTACCTATAATGTATGTGCACACACACAGCTATATCCATACGTGTGTACACACACATACACTGTGCATATGCTAGTGTATACTGTGTATCCACTGCCTATAATTTATAATTTCTGTGCATGCCAGCACACACTGTGTATATACTAGTGTATACTATACTAGTGTATATTATGTGTATCCACTACTTATAATTTATGTGCGCACGCGCACACACACACACACACACACATATCTGTATACTAGTGTATACTATGTGTGTATACTACCTATATACTAAAGTAATATTTATAGACCTGTGTATATATCTATGTGCGCAGGTCTGTAGTAAATACTGCGGGTTAACATTTTAGATGTACTATGTGCGTGCATGTGTACATATATATGCTATTATAAATGATAAGGTAGAATATATATGTATACATATCATACGGCACACGAGCCCTCCACACTTGCTCGGCAAAGTGCTTCCTTTCCATGCCTGAAGCCGTGCGTGGCCCTGGATGTTGCGCTCGCTGTCCTTCTGTCGCTAAGCCTGTTCCTCCCCCTTTCCGACCTGCTCGGCCACTTCCCAGCTCCGGCGGGAGCGCGGCCCGCGGCGGGACTCTCCCTGCCCGCTCTCCGCGCCCAGCTGCCCGGGCTGGACCGCGCTGCCCTCTGCACGGCCTGGCTGGCGCTGGCGCGGGCAGAGCTGGTGGCAGGCTGCAAACGAGAGCTTGTTTTGCCCAGGAAAAGCTGCGAGCTGACAGGTGAGGCCGTAACAAAGCTGCCCGCGAAGAGGGCCCTTAAGCACAGGAGCACCCGCGGAAGCGGCTCATGTCGGCCCGGGGCCTCCCGGCGTGTGGGACACAGGCGGGCTGGGAGTGCCCAGGCGCAGCCCTCTGCCCCGAGCCAGGAGTTTACGGGGCGCTTTTGTGAGCGCAGAAGTACAAATGTGGCCTCTTGAATGAGATCAAGACTCTCCCCCCCCGGCCCCGGCCCTCCCACGCGCTCCCAACAGGCAGGCAGCCGCCCGACCGGCACTGGGGCTCCTATTGGGCTACTGGAAACGATGTCGATTCCTTTCTGGCTTGGCCGGCTTCAGTGTTGGAAAAAGGCACGTTTGCACTGGCAGGATCTGGAGCGCAAAGTGATTCCCCAGCTCGCCGCCCTCCCCCTCCCGCTCCGCCACGCGCCCCTCCTCGGAGTCACTCACCTCCTGCGTGTCGGTGTAGTAGCTGTTCCAGTCGCTGGTTTCATGCCCTTCCATTTTCACAGTCCCTAACATCATGCAGCCAACCTGCCCGGGGTAACCATCCAGTCCTTCTGCGAGCCGCGGGCTGCGGGGCCGGAGCGCGAGAGCCCCAGCCTAGCAGGAAGCCAGCCCTTGGGCAGGAGGGGCTGGATTCCCGGGCTATAACAAGCCAAAAAGGAGGCAGGGAGCGTTGTGGGGCGAGACACTTGAGAAAGTGAGGAAGTGCCGGCTGGGATGTGAGTGGAGTTGAGCTGATGTGGATCTTACGTCGCAGAAGTGCCCACCTCCTCCTCCTCCTCTCCCCATTTGTCCGCCGCACAAAGACGTTCGCACCTACAAAGCCGGAGATGCACCTGCAAACAAGGCAGCTCCACTCGCTTGCAACTCCCCCGGGGCGGCACTTTATTTGCAAAGCAGTGTAATTGGTTTAAACTATGGGGAAAGAAGGAGAGAGAGCGCGAGGTGGGAGGGGAAAGAGCGAGAGAGCGGAGGAAAGGCAAAGCGACTCCTTTCAAATGGCCAGGGCAAATGCTAGCAAGGGGTCGGGGAAAATGAAATGAGGGAGATAAGGAAGGGCAGCCCCCTCTGTTTGGATAGGATGCAAAAGGCCGGCCAGCCTCAACCCTGAGATTAAGAGGCCATGTTTGCTAAAGTACAGTAGATGCTTCTTTAACTTGAGGAGCGGGATGTGCTCCGAAAGCCGAGTCCTGCGACCAACACGCGCCCCCCACCCTGAGATCTAGTCCTCATCACACAATTCTCCCCGCCCCCAAGCTCCCCCCCACCCACTGCAAAAGAGATGCCCTTTCAACCTGCGATCTTGATTTGAATGTTTTTATTGACACCTAGGAGGTGTCAGCCCTTCAGACGAGGCGTCTGTGTAGCTGTAGGCTTTTTTTTTTATGATCCTTTTTTTTTGTGCTATGTCATACGTTCAGAAACCATGTGAGTCACAGCGGTGAGGCATGACGTTAAGTCGCCCAATAAACACGAACAGAGGCTCGAATGCGGATCCAGTGACATTAACCTGTACTTGACAAACACCAGGTGAGTCACCGAAACCGTTTGATATCTTTATTGTAGAAAGGCTCAGCCCTGAAGCGTGCTTGGAAATAGTCACCTAGGAGCAGGAATAACACACGTAACAATAAGTAGCGGATATATTATCAACATCCTAAACTGTGCGTGGTTTCAGGTCCTGGCAAGAAAGTCTTCTGTTGGCTAAAAGGGGAAAAGGGCAATGACAATAAAACAAAATTACGTAGGACTAAGCACTTGAACATAAACGGTGGGGATCAATCCAGCCTTTGCAGAGGGATGAAGAGGACGATCTAATATATTTTCCATTTCTGTTCTCTGATCTGATGTTAAGATCCCAGACTCTCCTCCTTGGGTGTCTCAGCAGCATCCCTGATGCTTGTCCCGGGTAGTAGGGTAGAACTTGTACCACTTCGGAGTAAAAAGTCTCTGAAGTTGTGGGGCGGGGGTGGGGGGTTATAAACCTTAGGTAAACTAATGTTTTGAAAATCAATCCTGAGCTAATCATGCCGAACTGATAAAAAAACAACAACAAAAAACCCAGCCCAACTAATCTGAATGTCTGTGCTGGATATTTATCACGTCGAAAAATTCAACTGCGTTTAGGTGCACGTTTACCTGTCCTTGAGTTTAATATATATTTTTTTAATTCTTTAAAAAATTCTCAGTCGTCACAAAAACAATTTTAAAAGTTTCTTGTTAAAGTAGCTGAGAATAAATTAACGCCCTGTCTAGAGACAGAATATCTCGGGTTGGAGAAATATGTTTTAACTTGTCCTCTAAATGCGTTTTCTGTTACCCCTTTCTTTGTTCTTTTTCTTTTCTCCTTTCTTTAAAATCTGGCAACAGAATTAAGTTAAATCCTGGAAACAAACAAAACCGTGAAATCAGCAGGAGAGAACAAGGGATGCAAATGTGTTGTTAAGGATCTAAAGAGATAAAACCTTTGGACTATAATCTGTTTTTTTAAAATTGTTACACTAGGTAAAAAAAAGACATTGAAATGAAATCCACATAGAAAATATTAAGAGACGATAACATTAGACAATGAATGCTATGTTATATCAAGCTATCCGTCCATCCATCAATTCATCCAACCAACCAACCAACCAACCATCTGTCTGAGCGAATAGACAGATACAATATGAATTAGTACTCTTATGTCAATGCTCCAATTCCGTTTGGAGATCATACTCCTGCAGAAATAAACCATGAAACATGGAGGCACTTTCAGCAGCAGTAGTCTCCTTGTTCTTCTTTTTTGAGACAGTCCGATCAGTTATTCTGCATTTGTATGACACAAGCAAAATCGTGAATTTTATTTTATGTTTTTCAATTTAAAACGACAAGAACAATTTTCCACAATGTCGTACACTCCCAGACAGCTCAGCTGCAGAGCGGAAGGAAGGGGACTGTACGCCTACCAGTTTGATACACTTGCAAAGGATGCTCACATTTCTTAGGAGAGCAGCAATACCAAGGGGCCAAAATATAACCCGGGTCACAATGATATTTTTTATCTTTCCAGAATAAAACATAACCAAACAAAATCACTCCATGCCCACCAAGCTAAACCAAAAATCCTCCAAGCAACGACGGCAATACACAGCTGATTAAAGACCCGGATTAAATAGGTGTGTTAAAAAGCTGATTCCGTGCTAGATTTCCTCTGCTAAATGGGTGATTGTAAGAGAAGTTTGTGTCACTGAACTTCTAGGTGTGCAGGAAACTCCTTTGATTGCATAAAGTCACAGCGCCTCCTGTTGGCCAGCGCCCACGCCAAGCTCACATACCTGTTTTAAACACAGCTACTGGTTAGGATACCACACGAATAATTGCAGTCTATAATCTTCAGACAGCACTTTCCACTTATTCATTCAAATCAAGCTGCCTGGGGCAAAGTAGCCGCGGCTATTGGGAGCTCCCATCACCCTGCATGGCAGCCTGCGCTGGCTCCTGGTCACCTGCCTAGTGCTTCTAGGTGGCTCTGGCGTTTGGGATCTGTGCTGATATGGGGGGTATAAAAAAGCAGGTTTCACTCAATCTCATTACCCAGCTAGGTGTTGAGTCTGTGTGCTAACATGGCTGGCATGGGAGACCACGGGCTTTAAGCAAGAAGAAAAAGGAGGCGTGTCCCCTAAGTGTCCTATGGTATGTGTCCATAAGGCGTGTGGCCAGACGATGAATCTAGCTATCAAGATGTCTTTGTCAGGGTCTAGGAACATGCCCCTGATTCAGGTGACACAGCTTTTTATTGGCACGGTGCCGCCTGTGTGTAGTTAGACCAAGTCTGGGGGACCAGGAAGATCAGTTGATTTGTAGAGCAGAGAAGGACGGAGCTCGCCTAACCGGGGGCAGAGCCTCTGCTCCTTTCAGTCATTTCTCGCTGCATCACAAACCAGAGGAAGTTGCAGATTAAGGGGGAACAGATCAAAATTAGGAAAGAGAATGGCTTTGCTGGGAGCGGATGTGTGGAACTGTCCCTTCAATAATGTAGATCACTTCTTTTGAGCCATAGAAGCATTTGTTAAGCCCGGTTTTAGGAAACAGGCTCCTTGGGGGACATTGTGTACTTTATTTCTGACTAAGGGTGCTGGAGAGAGGCCTTCCCTAAGAAAGTATTGCTCATGAAGGGAGGGGAACGGGACATTTTTCGGCCTGTCATTGCATTTGCTAAAGGGCGAAGCTTGGAAATTCCCGTCGATCATCCAGTTCATTTGCTCCCTGCAAAGAGCGAGTCACCTGGTCAGGCGCGTCCACACGCGCGCTCCGACTATAGGTCTTTGCTTTAGAAAAGGAGGAAGCCACCTTTTAATCTCCCTGCTCCCCAGGACAAAAACAGCCTCTGTACTTGATTTAAGAGGGAATTTGATGCGGCTGATTCTTTGCATTTCCTGTAAAGAGGCTCCTTGATTTCACCCAGACGGGAGGGTCTGGTCCGTGAGAAACCCCCCGCAGCTGGATGGGGAAGCGGGTATCTCCACACCTGTCCTCTGCATGCAAGCAAAGGGCATTTCCGTCTAGGCTCATGTGGAGACTTTGCTTCATTGCCCTGCATTTCAGTTTAACTGGAGAGCGCTGCGCCGCAGCTGGGCACTGCTAGCCAGGATTTCCAGCCGATCCGAGTGTGACAGAAGGGACCTGGAAAGTTGTTTGCTCTGAAGTTGGTGGTGGGAAGCTCCCTTCCTCTCTCTGTCCCCCCATCTCATCTTTGCCCCCCGGAAGTCCCTTGCCCCAAAAGTCCGGCCATCCAGGCAAGGTTGTTTCTCTTCTTCAGAACCGAACAAGGGGAGTCAGGGATCCTAGCCTTGCTCTTTGCCGCAGGAAAAAATAACTGGGGAAGAAAAGCCTCACATGAAGGGCAATGAAACCCCAAGCGAACGAAAATCCCGCGGTTGGCAGGTGGCAGAGGGGAGCGAAGGCTCCCAGTAAACCCGCGGCCGGGGTAGGTCCGGTTGCTGTAGCCTGAGGCTCCCTGTCTCTCTCCCTGAATGGGTTTCGATTCATGGAAAGAGAGTTTGGACTCCGGGAAGGGGCCCGCAAAAGCTGAGAGGAGCCGCAGTGCCAGGGGAGGAGGGCTTGCTTCTCCGGGCACAGCACAACCGCTCGGGCGCTTCACGGCACTGCCAGGCTGTGAGCAGCGATCAGGACAGTCGGCGTTTCACCCCCAGCTCCCAGCCCTCTCCCTCTCTGTTCCTCATTTTCGGACCTGCCTCTGGTTCCCAGGCTCAGCTCTTCCCTCGCCGCTCGAGGAGTTCACGACCAGGTGAGATGAGATAAGGTTGCATTTGCTTTCCGCTCTTTCGGGATCCCTCTACCTGCCCAGACAGGAACACTTCACTGGGTCAGCAGTTTCTTGTAGCTTTTTCCACCTGAACTTTCCCTGCCTCCTCCTTTGCCAGCTAAGCAGGGTTGCTAATTAATTTTTGAAACTTCCTTGCTTAAGGATCCGCCCTAACAGCGGCTCTCCCTTCCCTCTTCGCCTGTCTGCTTAACTGCACCGAGATATCTGCCCCTTCAAATGCACCCGCGGGGAAGCAGTTTCCATTGCTCCCGCGTGCCCTGGACACAAGTGACTTCTGCCCCGCCGTGGGTCATGGGTCCCACTCAACGGACTTCGCTCTGAACCGAATCCGTCATTGCCCTGCTGCCTGCAGGCGAAGGACCAGTTAGGAAATGCATCCGGATTAACCTATTCCAGTGGATCGCCCTTTCCTATTTCTCACTTTCCTTCGCATGCACGGTGCAAATAAAGGGGGGGGGGTGATGGGAGAGTGGGAGCTGT